CCACAGCGTCTGGCACTCCTACAGATCTATATTGTATAATTGTAAGCAGTCGAAAGCTTGGACGCGGAGGCTCAGTGGCTAAGACGCTGAGCTTGTCAATCAAAAAGGTTGGCAATTCGGCGGTTCGAATCCCTAGCACCGCATAACGGAGTGAGCTCCTGTGACTTGTCCCAGCTTCTGCCAAACTAGCAGTTCGAAAGCAGGTAAAAAATGCAAGTAGAAAAATAGGAACCACCTTTGGTGGGAAGGGAACAGCGTTCCGTGCGCCTTTGGCGTTTAATCATGCCGGCCACATGACCACAGAGACGTCTTCGGACAGTGCTGGCTCTTTGGTTTTGAAACGGAGATGAGCAGCGCCCCCTAGAGCTGGGAATGACTAGCACACATGTGCGAGGGGAACCTTTACCTTTTACGTTTTCTAATTCAAACCAGGGGCAATGATGAACATTGCAATACAAGCAACAAACCTCTCTATTGTTTCTGAGCAGCTAATAAATGAGGTCCTGGATTCACGGCCACCTTTGAGTCCAACGTTTATGTCAAGTGAGACCACGCGGAAGTGAACTTTGTCCCATTTCACAGCTTTTCTGTCCAAATTTGCTAAGTGAATCGTCGTAAGTATGGAGCAATTGCCAAGCCTCTGAATTCCGATCACGTGGCCAATGACCATGGGGAGGCTGAAAGGATCATAAGGGTGAAAACCAGCCCTAACTCACTTTTTTTCAGTGTTTTTGTAACTTGGAAGGGTCACTAAATAAATTATTGTAAGTCAAGGACGATTTGAATCATCTGAAATTTGGATTAATACATTTATCCGATTGTGTGTGTGCGTGTGCATAATATATGTGTATTTGTTATCTTGATCTACACTGTTATTATCTTGGAAGCAAAATGAATATAAAAACGGCTAAACTTGCTTTCCTTTCTCTACGCCATGCTAGCAAACTAGATACTAGTGAGAAGTAAATATATACAGTATATTTATTTAAATGGTAACTCAGTTAAAAATTGAGGTCCATAAAGCTTGGCTCCTAAGTGTATTTTGACATGAGCTGGAGTGATTAATCTTTTGCATTTATGTCGTGAATAAGTAGGGGGGGGAACCTCCAATATATGCTTCAGCTGATCTAACAGTTTGGATCTAGAGCATTACTAAGAAGCATGTTTTATTTTCCAGTGTCCTTAACTCTAAATACACCACCAAGATTAAGGTTTTCACTAAGGAAGTGAGAAATGGATAGCAGTAGCAGTTCGACTTATATACCGCTTCATAGGGCTNAGCACAGACGGTGTTGGGAGTGAAGGAATCGCTTCCTCCCTCCCATACGTCTCAGATTGTTTGCATCGCAATGCCCTTCTTCCGTGGCATCCTTTGGCTAAAGCCTCGGGGCACTGAGCTACTCCGGCTACCCAGCAAGCCCCTAGCCCCTAGAACCCAACTTTCCTGCTTGAGAGAAGATAAGAGGATGCTACTCACAGTACTTCCAGATCTCGGAGTGCTCTGAACGCCCCATCTTCAATGCAGCTGATCTGGTTGAAATCCAGTTGCCTGTTCAAGAGAGGAGGAGAGGAGAGGTGAAGCAGGGGGGGGGAGGCTACACACCGGGTGGCTTAAAGAAAAAGGGCTTCCTTAAGACGAAAGGCCGGCCGTAGAAACTGAGATGGACTCCCCGGGGCGCTTGGAGGAAGTCCCCCGGCCTCCTGGATTGGATGCGGTCACCAAAAAACCCCTTCTTGTTTTGCACGCCGTGCGCAATAAAACCACTTCCCCAGCCCTGGGAAAGCTCCAGTAAATAATAACTGCACCTTATATTAAATGCCAAAGGAATGCAATTTCATTACATCAAGAAAAGCTATCCATTAAAGGCTCTCAGCGTCATCTTGCTGAAACAATTTCATTAAGGTAAAGGGCTGTAAATCACTTAACGTCGTCCATCCCCTCGGTGACCCAACAGAATCCATTTATCAGAGAAGCTGCAGCTGCATGTTAATTTCCCCATCCTTGGCAGGAGGAGAGCGGCCGGGCGGGGGGGGGAAGCACCCTTCGTTCGTTCGCTCAGGCAGCCTCTCTCCAAACTCCTCGGGCGCAGACATTGCCACGGCTGCCTTCTTTAACTCACCCCTGGATTAAAATCCCTGCCTCTTGCACTTCGTGAAGGTAAAGCCCAGCGCAGGGAGATGGCTCTGGCCTTTTGACGTGCGTTTATAGAGCTGATCAGGGTGGGGTCCGTGCGGTATTAAATTCAAACATTTAAGGTACAAATACCCCATATCCAGATTTTGTGAACGGTTACGTTTTGTGACGCGGTGGCTCAGGGGGTAAGACGCTGAGCTTCTCAATCAAAAAGGTTGGCAATTCGGCGGTTCGAATCCCTAGCACCGCATAACGGAGTGAGCTCCTGTGACTTGTCCCAGCTTCTGCCAAACTAGCAGTTCGAAAGC